AGCAGGAAGACTCCACAGCGCAGAGAAAAAAAATCTTGTGTTCTCTGTCCATCTAATGAAAACAAACTAAAGGCTTCAGCAGACATCGCGAGGTACAGCTCTGATTGCATCTTCCCGCAGGCAGGGAGCTGGCCCAACGCCGGCCACCTGCAGGCGGTGCAGGGGAGGCAGGCAGGGACCCCTCGGGCACTCCAGAGCCAGTCGGTCGAGGCCCCACAGACTCGAGGCTATCTCAGTATCAAAAGGATGGGGAGACAGGAGGGGGAACTCTGAGCCCGCAAAGAAACCGATTTTGCACAAGGAGTAACGCCACTTTGCCCTCCAGACACACAGACCAGAAGGTTCAAATGACCAGCAAAGCACCAAACCCTTCGGCTTCTCAAGTATCTCCATGAAAACAACTGGAGAACAAACAACAAATCAACTTGGCATGGCTCTTGCTCTCAGGTCCCTTTTAAGGGCCGGGTTCTTCCCCTGCATAAACCTTTGGAGTCCCCGCTCTTTGCACACTTTTTAAGACTGGAATGTTTTTCACTCTCTCCCAACTCCACTTCCATTTCAAAAAGGAATCACCCCATCCCCAAAAAGCATCATAATTGAGCTTTGTGCAAAAAAAACATTTGCACTGTGTTACAAGAACAAGAAACAAAAGATACAAAGCACTGCAGTGATGGGACTATGCTAACCCGTGTAAGAAAAGTATGTAGGCTAACCAAGATGATCACTGAACACAGCTCCCACCAGCACAGTTAGTGCAGCACATGCCACACTTCCTACCAGCAGAACTTGGCCCATGGGACAGTGTTCACAGGTACATGTCAGGAGCTTGTAAAACAAATAACACTGTTAAAAGCCAGCAGTAGGTTGAAATGTCACAACCTATTACTTTTAAGCTGTTTTTGCAATGGCATTGATACTACATCTCAGCGAGGAAAGAGAAGGAATAACCAGCAGCACTAGCAAAAACTGAGGCTAACTGATGCTACACAGCCCGAGAAGATACCCTCACTTCTCATTTCCAGGCCCAACTTGAATGGACATGAACACCACTGCCCCATGGCATCTGCTAAATGAAAGACAGTGCCTTGAGTTCAGATCCTCCTGAGCTGTTCTCGGCCAAGTCACTGCATTTCATTTTCAGACAATTTGGCTGGCAGCATCAACCCACCCGCTGAACAAGGGAAAACACTTAAGCCATAACCTCCTGCAGGTAAATGCCACTCGGCATTAATGGTACATTAGGTTATATTGCTTCATTGCTACATTTAAGTGGGTGCATAAAAGCTTAAGTGAAACAGAAAAGCTGTTACTTGCCTACATTTGCTAATTTTTTAAATACACAAATGTGTTAAATAGTGTGGGCTTACACAGGTAATTTATAGCATCAGGATCATAAGAGTTGTAAAAGCTTCTGACGGCCAAGGTCTGTGGAGATGGCCAGCACACCTACCACCTTCATTAAATTCAAAGCCTCTGTGCTACCCGGGCTGCCCCATTATATACTTTTGAGGACCTTCCTCCCCCTTACCAGTTTAGGCAGATGAGCACAGTAGCAAAGGATTCTGAGCCTTGCATGGAAACAGAAATACTAATAGGTTAAACAATCCACTGCATTGCCACAGAGTGAGCCTGCAGCACAGCCAAGAGCAAAACCCTGTGGAAGCTCTGACTGTCACAAAGCTTCTCATTTCCATGGCATTTTTAGAACACACAGCACGAAATAGCTATTAGTGGAGAATGCCATCAAGACGCATCATCTCAGGTTGAAGTTGTGAGTCAGATCTGCCTTTAGTGGTATGATTCAGGCATCATCTCATCTAAATTGATACAGGTATCTACAGCTAAGATAGTCCCCTTGTAGCCACTGCAGTCTAGGGCGCAATTCCTCTCATCCTAAAGCAGGTGTCTGAAATGGAGCACACTTAAAACTCACTGTTTCTCCCCCTTACAAGGACAACTTCTCAGCTGTAGCCATCTGAATCTGTTTAAGTGAGACAGCTCCTCCCTCACTTGACTAAAGATAGGTCTAGCTTACAACTCCAGCCTAAGCAACATTTCAGATATCTGTATTTAATACAAATTGTAATAATTATCACATACTGTCTCCCTAGACAAAGCACCTTACAAGCAGGCCCCACACCATGTCATATAAAATAAATACCTTCCCTACTTTATAGATGGGGAACTGAAATCCATTCAAAAAAGGACAAGTTTGACCCATGCCAAATCAGTGTTTACTCCAGAGCCTTGTTTCAGAGTTTGCATCCACAGGGTGTGGTTATATGCCCAAACAAGTCAGACACAGCAGCCTTGGCTCTAACTTGCCAAGGTTGGACAGTCTTCAAATGCCCTCACACTGACTGGGCATAAGCCACCTTTGCTGTAGACGCAGTGGAGGTCCTAGGGTCAGTCAGAAGCATAGGTCTTTGGCTCTGGTAAACATTTTTCTTAAGCCATGACTGTACTGAAAACTGGTTTAAAGGTCCAGGAAAGAGGGAATGTAACATAGCTCCCTGCCCACTTCCAGGTCCCCAAAGCACTGGTTTCTAGTTAGGCCGCCTTCTGCTGGCTCTGCTTCTGGGATTCTTGCTAACCTCCTTACACCAGCCTGGCTTCTCCCATCCAAGGATTGTGGGACTCTCCAAATGGGTTCAAAACTCCTCAGCCTGCAGAGGCCGTTTAACCCAGATCTGTCAGTTCAGTAAAGACTACTGGGCAAAACAGTATGTTGCTGTTCCTTGGGTTAAACATCACCACCAACACATTAGGTTCAGCTGTTCTGTCCCCAAACTTTTAGCCAATTCCCTAGATCCCAGTCCTATTCTCATTTAAGAATTTAATTATCTTATGACTTGGAAAAATGTAAGATTTCACTCAACAGATTTTTCCAGATATACCCAAGTCTGTCAGCTCTTGGTTTAAAAATGATCAGTAAAAACAGTTAGATATTCTAATCTGCAACTGCCTGGAGCAGTGATGATATTTTCAATGCTGTATTTTCCTTGGCTGGCTTTTAAGCACTTTGTTCTCTTTGGCTAACTGCCCAACAAAGCTAATGACAAGGAAAAGCATGGCATGGCAAGGACACCTGTAGCACAGCAGACAACACAGAGCAGATTTGCAGCTCAGATATTTATGAGCCGAGTAGACATTTCAAACCTGAGTAGCTTCAAAACAATTAAAAACCTAGTGACATTCAAATGCCCAGTTCTAAAGCGTCAGCCGGACAGCAAAAACATCAATACACATAATTTTGGACAGTTAATTTTTCTCTGTACTCTGAGGGACTTTGCTTTGAACCAGATGAAACACTGAGACATGTGACTAGAGCAAATTTGTCTTAATCCTCAGACCAAAACACTGGAGCTATTTCATGAAAAAGTTCAGTCAGACTTGATTGTGAGTAGTAAACAATAGTAGCAAAATACAGGCTGTAAATGCTGAAGCAGTTACAGGTTTGACTATTTAAAAATGTCTGTTTCATGCAACTCTGACCTTGACCATAGCCCCCAGACACACCACAGTGAATAAAAAGCCCCCAAATTATCACATCTAGGGTTCATCTCTCAAGACAATCACAACCCTACTGCTCCACAAGCTTGGCTGAACTGAATATATGCAGCAGCTTAATACAATTTATGCCTGTATCAATGCCAAGAATATCTGCAAAAGAGCTGTTAAGCAGGTATTTCAGCCTTATAGGAATGGACTTTTCCCTCCCAATTAATCTTTGCTGTAAGAAACAATTTAACCCTCATCCAAGGAGAGGCAACTGGCTCTGCAGATTTGGACACATCTTCTCTCTGAAGGTCACTTAACTCAGACTGGCTCCCAGGAACTCCCCAATGAGTTCACACCAGCAACCACATCCCACTACCAACTTACTCTTCACATTGGGGTCACTACTCCTACAGTCTCCCAGCTGAGTCTTCTGTTCACAACCACTTCTAAGTTAAAAATCACCAACTTGGACCAATCTCAAATTACAGCTATGTAAGCCTTAAACGGAGTTAGACTTTCAGGATCCCATTCAAACCACATTCATTTTAACGAGCTAACAAACTCCCAGTGGGCAAGAAATTGTTTTGGGGTTTTTTTCCTGATAATTCATCCAGAATGAGCTCTCTGGTATGGCTGCTAGAGAATGCTTTTCAACTTTTTTACTGCAGAGCAAAGTAATGGTCCTAGAAACATGTTTCTTTTCTACAGGTGTTGTACCCATTTACATCCTTCTAACTCAGATCTTCATCCTCTGATGAACTGCATCACAAACCCAAAATACAAAACCTATGTGCACTTAATTTAATTGGTGGGACAAGAAAAAAGTTCTGTCCCTGCCATCACAACAGTTAAGTGTATAAATGGAGTTCAGACAACAGCTTTGTTCAAAGCATTCTTTTCTTCTAGTCAGCTTGAAAAGGCAACTAAAGGGAATGGCCCAAACAAAGGATCTTTTGCAGGAAAAACAGAACTAAGTCCTTGCCCACTCATTTTCCTTTAAAACTCCTTTTGCTAGAAAGGAGTTTTCTTGCAAGAATGTTTGCTATAGGATCCAAGCTAAATTCCAAGCTGGATCATTTCTCTCTGCCAGCTTTTGGCACATACTTCTGATAAATACTCAGAGGCAGAACAATCAGCAAAGGACAAAGCAAGCCTTGTGAACAGTTTGCAAAGCTACTTTAGAGACATTTAGAGAAACATACACAAGTAAATATTTAAGTCAGGGTTATGTAGCCTATTGCAGGCAGTCACATTAATGAAAATGCATGTTTGATTATTAATTGCAAATACTGGTCTTCTGCCAGGCCTGAAATTTTTCAAGTGGAAGAACTAGCATGAGCTGTGTGATTAGTCAGCCCACCCTTGCTTTTTCCCATCGTTTCCTATAAAATCTCATAATTTGCTCTTGTATGAAAAGAGAGCACTCAAAACAGCTGCTGTCACTTGCCTGCCAAACTATCAATGCACTGCAGGAGAAATGGAGTGAAGAGTACTGGCTGCTTCACTGCTAGTTACCTTGCTTGACCATGAGAGTGAAGTACTCCAAGCTGCCAAAGCACCTACCATGCACACAATTCCCATTGCAGACAGAAAGTCTCCTGGCAAAACCTTTGTCAGTCTAATTTAGATAGTGGAAGGACATTAGGATAAGCTGGCACTTGCAGCAGAACTGCTTGGACAAGAGACCACATGCAGTTAGTTCAGCTGGTAAATCACCTGCAACAGACTGACCCCAGGACAAGCCCTGGGGATAACCTGAACAACTCATCCTCTTCACTTCACTGTCCAGGACCACCAAGGATGGGGGAAAAGGAAAACCTAAAAGTTCACCCCAATGCTTTCCATTATGCCAGATCAGTTGCTTCCAGGCTCCTCTAACTCAGGCTAGCTGGCAACAACACCTTAAGGTGTTGTCCTTAAGGATCTTAGAGCAATTGGGGAATATTCAATATCTGAACATGCCTGTGTCATCACATGCCAGCACTGCAGGAAGCAAGGTGGAAAATAATGGGTGTGCTTCATTGGTATCTACTCAGAAACACTCCTTCAAGAAGCTCCAGGAATTTCCATTCAGTGCTACAGCAACACTATTGGTATTTACTGGAAAGTAATGGGAGATGTCTGGAATAGTCCAGATCTAATTTGCAGCAGTTTAGAACATCCTGGGGCATTCCCATTAATAACAATACTTTTTAATGTTGAGGAAAATATGTTCTCAATATTAAATTTTTTCCTGATCTGTGTCCAGCACAAGAGTTCATACTGTGCATTTCTCAAAAACTTTTTGAAAGGTCACTCTCCCTTAGGGATCTTTATTTGAAATAAAATGAAAATAAGTCTTTATTTTCCCCTTTATTCTCTCCCCACAAAAACATTATACCACCCAGAGAACAGGTAACTCCTTTAATTGCTGGTACCAACTTAGCTCCTCCAGGACAGAGGAATAAAACTCTGGTGTAATTAGCAGCTCCTTCCTGCCCTGAAGAAAATGAACCATTGTCAACAATTAAAACTGTTTGTTGGCTACTGTGAACAACTCAGAACTACCTCCAAGTCCTTCCTGACCCACAATTTGAAAAATACTAACCCAACTCACTGCCAGAGATTACAACACTGTCACTAAGAAGCTCTAAGGAAAAAAAAAAAAAAGGCTCCAAGAGCTCTTTGAGAAGAAAACAAAAATTTAAAAAAATAAACACCTCTATTCAGGAAGTTTTCCTTCTGTTGTAACATCTTTGTATGGATTCTGGTGATTGAGCCCTTTCTAAAAGAATGAAAATACCATGTGGGCTGTGCTGAGAGGCAGCCAAGTGGAACAGAAGGGCCAGTGTTGAACCCACTAAGGAAGAGAGAGGAATTAGGAAAGATCGACAGCCTAAAGCTATTCAACAGCAGTACAGTGACTGCTTAAGCTGGGATAAGTTTTAAAGGCCTAGAAACAAAATGCTCTCTGTGGGCCTTGTATGCACCTCAGTTGGAGTCTTCTAGCTTCAAACATCATCTAGTGTTGAGAGGAGTGAGGGGCTACCAGTTAATCACAGCTAGAAGAAGATTTGGCCAGGAACACTGCCAACACAGTCTTGGCAGCAGTAGTCTTGTGTACTTTGAATTGTTCAGGTTTTCCTATATGTATTGGTTTTGCTTTTCTTCCCCCCTACAAGAAGCTCTGTTTGTTTAAAACCATTGTTTAACTCTGTGCTCACAAACAGAGAAGCACTGCTCATTCTTGAGCATTCAAAGAGTCTAATTGAATTTCCCAGGCTTCTGGGAGAGGGTTGAGCCAGTTTTGTGTACCAATTTTAGCAAGAACCCAATTAAATTAAAGCTAGCTCTGTTGTTGCCAGTCTGTCCTGGAGAAGAGTTACAATTAAACAGCAAAACAGCATGACACTACGAACAGCAACAGATCTATTTGAGCATCCTCAAAATACATTATCACAGTAACATAAAAAGAAGCTTTAACACTGAGAATTTACTCAAGCAAGACAAACATTACTCTAGGGCGACTTGATTTTGTGTGGGTTTTCTTCCTTTCTAAAACTGAAGGAAAATAGAATTCCTTCAGTACTATCAGGCTTTTTGTCTGCTAGTGCCAGCTCTGACTACCTTCTTTAGAAACAAGGGCAACTTTTATTAAATAGCTTTCAGAAATACATACTGTAGCCTCTGTAAAGGAAAAGCACTTATTGATGACAAACAAGGAGAGTGCTGAGAAAAACTACTGTCATCAACTTCAGTCAGACACAGAACATTTATAAACATTTCAGGTTTGCTGACCTGAAACTAAGTTACAGACCATCATACACCTTCTTTAAACAAACCAGTAGAATTTTCTGGCAGATACAGGACAAGTGCTTGTGTGATAGATCCCCTTTTCCTCCATCTGCTTGACCTCCTTCCCTCCACTGCAACATTAACAAACCTGGCAATATTCACCAGAAAAATACTGCAAACAGAAAAACAGGGTGTAGGTTTTCAAGTCACATTAAACTTTTTCCCCCTCTCTCCATCATTGCTTTGTGATTCCTCTCCTCCATGCTCTACTTCCCATTTTCCTTGGCTGTTTTCTTGTCTTGGCCATCTCTTTCTCCCTTTCTTTTCTCAAATCATGGCTGTGTGGTTTTTAAAGCAGGGTTTTTCAGTTTTATGCTTTCCTATTATCTTCCGGCCACAATTTTGGTTTGAGTTTTAGGGTTGCTTTGTGGTTTGTTGTTTTTGTTTGGTGTTTTGTTGTGTTGTGTTTTTTTTAAGTTATCTGACTCTGTGTCTGTTTGCTTGCTCAAGTTATTTTTCTTCAAAGTCTCGTGATCTTGTGTACATAAACTTACTCAGTTGAAAAGTCCTCACAGCAAACCTACTCATTAGCTTCAAGACCTAAGAGGATGTAAATAGATACTGAGCTAGAAGTTAGACCAGGATAGGCACTATCCTGCTGCCAAGAGGATATCAGAAGGTATTTCAAGGAAAGAGAATTTGTCTCAAAACCACAGAGCACTATCATTTTGTTATTACAGGAATGTTTAATCTTACCATTCAGAACCTGACTCAGAAGACCTTTATGAATGAAAAGACAATTAATGCCCGCGTGAGTTAGGATATGGATGAACAGCTTTGAACAGCTCTTGAAGAAGGCTCTGTTCTTACCTCTAGGCAAATTACTGATCCTTGATGCTCTTTGAACACTTTCAGCTGCTCCCCAGTGACAATATTCCATGTTCGAATGGTATAATCTGTGCTGCCAGAAAACAGCTCCCTGTTTGGTGCATCAAGTATAAGGCATAATACAGCTCCAGTGTGTCCCAGCAGAGTCTGGTAACAGCGCCCACTGGACACCCACCAGACCTTAACAGTGCAGTCCGTGCTACCTGTCACCAGGAGGTCTCTGCTCACTTTCTCTTCCTCCTCCTCTTCCTCTTCCTCTTCTTCAAGAACATCCCTGGAGGAATAGTGAGCTAGAGTCAGGACACAGTTCCGATGGCCTCGGAATTCCTGGATTTGTTTCTCCTTGTCCACACTCCAACAGCGGGCTGTCCGGTCGTAAGAGCCACTGAAGAGATAGTCTTTGGCAACCAGGATCCTGCAAAAATCAAGTTTACATGTATGAACAGTATAATTCTTTTTACATAACCATTGGATGGGCATGTTCTCTGTTACATAAAACACTGACTGGGCAGCCAAGCCCAGAGAGTGGTGGTGAATGGAGCTAAATCCAGCTGGCAGACTGTCACAAGTGGAGTTCCTCAGGGGTCAGTATTGGGACCACTTGTGTTTAACATCTATATCAAAGACCTCAATGAGGAGATAGAATCCACCCTCAGTAAGTTTGCAGATGCCACCAAGTTGGGAGGAAGTGTTGATCTGCTTGAGGGTAGGGAGGCTCTACAGAGGGACTTAGGCTGAATAGATGGGCTGAGGCCAATTGTATGAGCTTCAACAAGGCCAAGTCCTGTCCTTGGGCAGCAACAACCCCAGGCAATGTTACAGGCTGAGGAAAGAGTGGGAAGTGATCCTCCCTGCACTTGGCACTGGGGAGGACCCACCCAATTTTGGACACCTCACTACAAGAAAGACATCAAGGTGCTGGAGCAGGTGCAGAGAAGAGCAACTAGGCTGGTGAAAGGCCTAGAGAACAAGTCTTACTGCAAGCAGCTGAAGGAACTGGGCTGCTTAGTCTGAAGAAAAGGAGGCTGAGGGGAGACCTCATTACACTCTACAGCTACCTGAAAGGACATTGTAGAGAGGTAGGTGCTGGTCTCTTCTCACAAGTAAATAGTGATAGGACAAGAGGCAAAGGCCTAAAGTTACACCAGGAGAGATTTAGGCTGGACACTAGGAAAAAAATTTTCTCCAAAAGGATTGTCAGGCCTTGGAACAGGCTGCCCAGGAAGGTGGTTGAGTCACTATCCCTGAATGTGTTTAGAAGTCATACAGATGTGGTGCTTGAGGATATGGTTTAGGAGTACAGATGGTAGAGTTAACAGTTGGACTTGATGATCTTACAGGTCTTTTCCAACCTAAATTATTCTATTATTTCTGTTATTCTAAAATCTTTTCCAGCAGCATTATTTTATACTTTTCATAAGTTATATATACTAGCTAAGAGCTTGTGTTTGTGGGTTTTCTGTTGTTTGGATTTGTTTTAAATAACTCATTCTTGATAATTATTAATTAGTATTTATATACAAGTAATTATCTATAAACCCACCTTAGAAAATAGCTTGGAATTAAAATAACAAAAAAACCCAAAACACTCCACATTCCAGCAACTTGACCTGTGACTGACAGCATGCAAAGATAATCATCTTTCCATCATCAAATAGAGAGAAAACAACTAATTTCACTTAACCCAGGATCTCAAAAGAAGTAGAGCAAAAGCTCCCTACTTACATATCTAAAGAGCAAATCAGAGATTACAACTCAAGAATTCAATTTACTGGGCCTCCAAAATAATGAGTTGTAGCTACACAAACATAAAATGAAAGAAAAATTTTTACACTTCATATTTTCAAACCAAAGACAGGGGACACCACAACCTGTCATCTTGCTCAGCTGAGTTTGGTCATCTGGAACTTTTCAAACTGGCAACAAAATCATATGAATAGAGAACACATTCCTCATTTGCCAATTCAAGCACAAATCAGGCCAGTGCCAGAATACAGACAGAGCCAGCCTTCCTAACTATTTACAGAATCCAGCTACACATTATTATGTGTTTTGAGTTTAGTAAGGAACAAAAAAAAAAAACCAAACAAACAAAAATAAATGTAAAAAAACCCCTCAAAAAACAATCTGACTTCTTTATTTGTCATTAATTAAATCCAGTACAACCATAAAGAGGCATTTCAAATTGACAGGCCAATCAGTCATGCAGAAACAGTTTAGTATTAAACTTTACTTGCACATACAAGAATAGTAATTCCATAAAAAGCCCTGACTTTATCCCTCTTACTGACACAAAGGCTTGACGTGATGTTTTTGAATCTATCAGAAGCATCTGTTATCAATTGAATAATTTCTTCTGGAATTTCATTTCTAGCCCTGGATTCAATTCCCCTGCTGTGTGCCTTTCATTTCTCTCCTCTCTGCTGTCTATGGATGTGTCAGCACTGTCGCTAAGAAAACTAATCATTACAGCACAGAACACATGTAGCATGAACTCAAAGGTTTACACAACCCATTTTATCAGTGTAAGGAATGGAGAATTGCAGTAAAATGACAATATATGCAACAACAGATTACAGGGACACAGGGCAATAACTCTATAGAACCAACCTGTTCACAATTGATGTGTGTCCTCGATAAATGGCCAGGCACTGACCTGTCAACACATCCCACTTTCGAATGGTGTGATCTGCGCTGCAAGTGAAGGCAGCCTCATTTTCCAAGTGGCAAAAGGTGATGTAACTTTCATGTCCTAGGAATGACAAAGGAAATCAATTCAATCACTACACAAGAAGAGCAGAGCAGTCAAGCTCTTCACTTAAAATAAAAATACAACAAACAAGGAGACTGGACCTCTAGTTTTAAATGCACTGCCCTGCTCTCCACATGTAAGGATTTGTACACAACACGGCATTCTTAACTAACACCAGAAATCTCTGCTTCATTGATATAAGGATTAAGTGAAAGAGTAACACAGTACAGTTTTAGAAAAACATAATGAGCTAAATGAATATTAGTAGAATAAAATTCAGACTAGTGAAGTTTAAAACCAGTCAAAAATAGGCTTATTTTTTGAAATAAAGAAATGCTTTTTCTTCCTGGTTTTTTTTTTTTATTATTTTAGGGGAAAAAAGGCTGCATTTCAACACAGCTCATTGATTGAGGGACACAAACAGCCCTAAATTAAAGCATGAAAATTTGAAGAAATGAAGCAACGTGAGATTTACCAGCATGTTTAGTTTCACTGTCCAAGCAGAATGAAATGCAAACAAAAAACCAAACGTAGTAAAAAGTCAGTCAGCACTTTCCCCATTATGACTAAATAAATAAATAAAACTCACAATCTTCAAACTATCAGTATACGTTTCAGGAAATGACACAGAAAGAAAGAATAAGAGCACAATTATTTATGCAGTCTCCAGAGTATGTTGGGATTCTACAGTTAAAATTAAAATAGGCACAACCACTACTAAAAAAATTCACACTGAAAAGCAGGGTAATTCCTGAGAAGAGGGATCAGTCCTAAACCTTCAGCTTTTGTTGTTGCTTATCAAATGGTGTCATTTTTCTATTGTATCATTAAATGTTCTACATTTTAAAACATCAAGTTGGAATTCAAGTCCTAGCTTCGTCCAAGATCTCATGTGAAGTTGTTGTCACCTATCTAATCACAAGCATAATCTTCAGCTCTTCTGTTTTAATTATTTAGACTGTAAGCTTTCAAGAGCAGAACTGTTAACTTTTTAAGCAACTATCACAAGAAAGTTCCAGACTTTGGTTGAAGCTGGTGGGCCTTGCTGTGATTAAAGTAACACTTTTCTTTGAGAAGAAAAGAAAAAATATAAGAAGGACAAACGTGATTAAAGAGAGACAGATAGACAGACAAAGATATCAGAAAAATAGAGTATTGTAGAATAAAGAAATTGTAAAAAAACTTGAGGAAAGCAGACTACCTAGTAAAACACTGTTTCAAAGACTGCAAAAAACAGATTTTACTACAACTCCTGTAGTTCAAAAGCCTCGTAGCTCAAAAGTGAACCAGAATCCACGTTATAAGCACATCTTATTTCCTCTTAAGCAAATTCACCAGACACCAAAAATTAAACAGATTACCAGGGCTATAAGCAAAACTATACCCATCCTCAAATTTCTGTGAAAACTTTTTGCAAAGCAGCTTGGAAGGGACAGGTTTCAACCACCAGGACCTTTCTCACAGCATCAGGTAATCCTGCTCTGAGATGATCCAAAAAGCATCTTGGTTACTGCATCGAAGTCTGTCAGTCAGATTTTAACCATCAATAATACTCAAGCCACACAAAGGATGCCAAAACCCCCTATGGCAGGTCTGGTGCTGGTCTGGTCAAAAGCAGCCACCACAGAAGGCTGATAGTTATGCTGTGGTAGAAGCCTGAAGCTGTGTTATAGATACAAGTTTATGAGTAATTATACCTTGTAGGATATAAATTTATACAACAACTGTGTGTGTACATAAACATAAAATACATACAATTATCTGATACTAATGGCAGTTCACAAACTATGCAACCCATCTTAAAGTTTACCCCAAACACTAGCAGCACACAGGCCAGATTCTGAATATTATTCAATGCATTCCTCTTTCTAGTTAAAAGTGAATTACTGGGTTTAAAAAGGGATTTCTAAGCCTAAAGCAAACTCAGTTTTCCAGGAGCTAGAACCATGGCAGGATGTGGGGGGAAAAGACAATACTCCAGTAAAAAGCAAGCAAGCAAACAAGAAAAAGTCACAGCAATGTGATTTCTTCTTTGGAAGACAAAAGGATTGGGAAATCCAACTTTAAGAGGTTTGATTTCTTCTGCATGAAGAAAAAAAAAAACCACAAGTGAGTGAGAATACAAAGATCTTTAATCCACATCTGACTGTATGACTGTACTTTCTGCAGTTTCCCCTCTGCTTTTTAATTGAGAGGCTACTCTAAGGAGAATCAATTTTGTTTAAATGCAAAAGCAATACAGAATTAAAAAGACCAGCAGTTAACATTTCTGTGCATCAAACGTGGGGAAGAAAAATCAGCTTATTTAGTAAGGTTTCTTTTCAGACTTCTGGGTCAAGAGGCTCTAAATAAAGATTGTCTGGAAAATGAAATTATTACAAGGATTTAAAAAAAAGAGAGAGAGAGATAATAACAAAAAAAAGTCAGCATTTTATCAGGGTGTAAAACAGAGGGTTTCCAGAAAGAAGAGTTAATTTACAAGACTGCAGTGTTCCACACCCTGAGATAAAAGGATCCACGCAGTCAGTAGTGCTGCTAACCTGTTGTTGGATCAAACACCTTCTGCTTTACATTACTGTAACACACAGTAAAACCAAACAAACAACAAACAGAAAACAAACCAAGCATGATCTTGGCTGCCCAGCGGGCTGCAAGGACTGAAAGAGACCAGAAGGTGCTGCTGGGGCTGAAAGAGACCAGGAGGTGCCGTGTGGCCTTGGCCACGCTGTAGACCCAAAAAAGCATCCGAGAGGACGCGGCTGTACCTTGGAAGTGTCCGTGGCACTGGCTGTCGGCCGTGCTCCAGAGCCGGGCCGTGCCATCCTCGCTGCCCGTCAGCAGGCGCTGCCCGTCCGGGCTCAGGCTCAGCCAGTTGATGCCTCCCCGGTGATCCGTGCAGACCTTGACGGCTGAGCCGCTGTTCCCCATCCCGGCGGTGGCAGCGAGAAGGCAAAGGGAGGCCGCGGGGTGGGATCACAGGTGCTGTGCAACCCCCAGGCCGGGCTCCGGGCCTCGCAGCGTCTCCCACCGAGCAGCTTCAGCCATTCCCTCAAACTCCGAGGCAGCGGCGGGGCAGCCCGGACCTCCTGCGCTGGGACACAAAGGAGGCACCGGGGGGCACGTTTAGCCATTTCACACACACACACACACCCTCCCCGTGGATACATCGCTTTCTCAGCCAGGCCGTGCTGAAGCCATGGAAAGGAACCCAAACCCCTTCAAACCTCACCTGGTTCACCAGAAAACCTGGGCGAGGAGCCAGCCCGGGCTGCGGCGGCACCGCTGCCCGCTCCCCCAAGGCGC